GTTTGAAAAAGACTGATGCACCCCTATGTTTATCACAGCACTATTTACAATCACCAAGAAATGGAAGCAACCTAAGTGTCCATCAGTAGAGAAATGGATAAAGATGTGGTACATATACACAATGGAATATTATTCAGCCATAAGAAGAAAACAAATCCTACCATTTGCAACATGGATGGAGCTAGAGGGTATTATGCTTAGTGAAATAAGCCAAGCAGAGAAAGACAAATACCAAATGATTTCCCTCATCTGTGGAGTATAAGAACAAAAGAAAAACTGAAGGAACAAAACAGCATCAGAATCACAGAACCCAAGAATGGACTAACAGTTACCAAAGGGAAAGAGATTGGGGAGAATGGGAGGGTAGGGAGGGATAAGGGCGGGGAAGAAGAAAAGGTGTATTATGATTAGCATGTATAATGTGGAGGGAGGACAGGAAGGGCTGTGCAACACAGAGAAGACAAGTAGTGATTCTACAACATCTTACTATGATGATGGACAGTGACTGTAATGGGGTTTGTGGGGGGGACTTGGTGTAGGGGAGAGCCTAGTAAACATAATGTTCTTCATGTAATTGTAGATTAATGATAACAACCCAAAAAAATTAAAAAATAATAATGATAGGAAAATGGTAGACTAGAGGTTAAAGACTTAAATGACAGAACTAAATAAAGCGGGTAAGGAAAAAGAATAAGGGCAATTACAAGTAAAAGACTGGAGAAGGGAGAACAATATTAAGAAGAAAAAGGAAGACAAGGAATAGTTAACAAAAGATAAAAACAGAAAATCAGTCAACACAGGGTATGGAAATGAGGGGCCAGGAAGTCCTTGAGGAAAATGCTGCCAGGTCAGGCAGGATACAGAGAACAAACAAAGAGAGGCGGTTCTTACAAGATCATGAAGGTGCCATTGTGAGCCTTGGGCTCTGGCATGGGCACACTCTGGAGCTTCTGCTCTGGGCTGAGACCAACGCATGCCAGCATCTCATCTGTGCAGCTACGGAGCTCACATATGTTGTTTGCAGTGGTGTTCACCACTGAATTCTGAGTCAGTGATGGAAAAGCTGTCTCAGATGGCTCTGGCTGCTGAGGTACGGAAACGTCCAGGTCCCCAGGTGCAGCTGTGACCTGAATCAGGTTTGGACACTGACTGGGAACCTGCCCAGGATGTGGAAGTGTCCCCTGAGGGCGCGCTGAAGGTGGAGCTGGGGCTTCCTCCTGGACTGGAGGCTCAGCCTCTTCAGGAGTGAAGGAAGGCTCAGCCAGGGCTGCCTGCAGGTCTTTGTAGTTCTCATCCATCTCCGGGGGCTCTGGAGGCTGATCCTGGGAATCCACCTGGGGAGAAAAAGATCCAGCCTGCTCAACTTTCTGTCCATGATGAATGGGGACACTTTTCTGGGAGAAAGCTTCAACTTCCACAGGGGCCTCTGGAGGCTGATGTGGGCCGCCCAGAAACTCTACAGGTAGCTTCTCCTTAGCATAGACAACATCCCTACTGTGATATAAATAATCATCCTGCAGTTGTTGTTTTAGATGTTTCTCTGCAAATTAGCCTGGAGTTCCAAAACAAATTTTGGTAAGCTGTTGATACTGAGCTAGATATTTCTTTGAGTTTGGAAGTGAAGCAATAAACCTTGCTGGTTTTGAACTATCACTGCCTAGAGGTGGAACAAGTATTTCAAATGACTGCTGTTCGGCCTGATCTACATTTATAGTTTTAGTCTCAGTTTTGAGTCAAGGAGGCAGATCTAGGGCCTGATTCTGGTCTCAACTTACCACCGGAACCACCTCTGGGAGACTTTGATGCTGGCCAGGCTTGTCCCAAAGATCTGGTCCTGGGGGCAGCTCTCCAGCTGAACCTGTGTACCAGAAAGGAACCACAGGATGCATCAGTTGTTGACGTGGATGGGGAAATTCAAGAGGGAGATTGGAGGGATTGGAAGACCAGGACCCGGTTGGCCCTGGGGGTCTGGGGGTCAGCTGCACAGGATCCAGGGCCCAACCCGGAGGCTGAGCTGCCTGGACCAGCAGCCACATGGTAGCAACACAATAAGCCGCGGGGCCCAGAAACGCAGCCAGGACATGGCAGCAAAGGCTCCAGGGCACAATGAGCCAGAGGACCAGAGCAGCTCCCTTAAGCCAGAGCAGAACCATTATGACAGCTCTCTGATGCTCACATATCCTTAGGAACTGCGTGCCCCTCCCCTGCCTAGTCCCACCCTTCATTTATGACACATTAGGCTCAGGCTGAAATCAGCTCCACACCACCTGAGCAAGTCCTTTCTCAGAATCATGGAGTCCAAGCGTCCTCTCCCCAAGCAAAGGCTACAGACACCTCCCTCCAGATCCCCCTTCCCTCTGAGAGAGACAGGATTTGGGCTGCACATCTGGGTGGCCCTGGCTTCTGGCAGCCCAGGGATAGTGGGGGTTGGTTAAGAGAAGGGTAAGGGTGGAGGTGGTACAGTTTCCCAAGGAAGCCACTGGGTCTGGCATCATGGGAAATTCAAAAGTGCTCGTCCAGTCCTGGCAACTCTTCCTCTTCAAAGCTAAAATCTGAGACATTCTGCTTGCAAGAAAAGTAGCTTTCCTGCAAAACAAACACCTGTTAAGGTGGTGGAGAGGGAAATACACTTTACAGTCATTCTAAAATGTTGCCATTTTCTTTAAACTCTCAGTATATCCATGTCTGATTGTTAATTCACCACTCTATTACATGAGGACTACCACTGAATCAGTGATGACTCCAAAATTGCTATAGGAAGGGCCCTTGTAGGGTGAACAATCTACCCCCAAGCTCCAAGGGAGCTTCCCTTGGACTGAGCTTTGAGGCACCCATGTACTTGTGTGGATTGGGAGTCAGATGTGACAAGTTTCAAATAAGGTCTCAAGCACAGAAATGTAATTTGGGTAGCTGAACTGATGTAAAATGGAAACAACAATGTTATATCTCTCAGATGGTTGTGGTAAAGATTCAATGCTTAGTTTCATGTGCTTGGCACAAACTGAAGTGCTAACAGACAATGGCTATGAAACCACTGCTAAGTTCTTGGTGCCTGGCATATGGTCAAACACTCAGTGATTGGGAGAAGTTACTTTATCAACATTGGTACTTGATCTTTCTGAAATTTAGTTTCTTCCTAGGGATAAGTGAGGTACTATGAAATGTCTAGCACAGGTTTGGCAACACTAAATGCTCTGTGAATGGCAGCTATTAAGATATCCCCTGGACCCTGATGGGTTTTTCTTACAGGATGTTTTTCAAGTATGATTTCTTTTTTAAATGCTGTATCTCTGGGATAATTTGTGGTTATATTACTTGCCTGTAATCATATAATTACCTGTTCTGTTTTCACATGTAGGCAACGTCATGAAGTGATAACACTGGCCATATTGGAACCAGATTTGGTACAAAGTGGATTTGTGTGGCAGTCTGTAATACTAGTAATTTCTATGACAATCCACTATCAGTAATGAGCCAAGAGACTGTGACAATAGGAAATAGGAAATGAGCGTCCAGTAGTTCCCGAATCTGGCTGACCATAGAATCACCTGGGGATCT